TATATATATATATATATATATATATATATATATATCAAGTAATGATTTTGGTCTCATATGTAAAAGACTGTATGCCAAAATTATTATTGGAAATATAGAAGCAAGAAAAACGTTCCACTTTGTGAATAGAACTTATGAAAGAGTTGATAAAAACAATATTCAAGGTTTTCACAAAATTGCAATAAAGTAAACCATCATAAAGAATTACTACGTTTATATAGCATTCCAAAACTATGTTAACATCCAATTAACTTTAGACGTTTACCTAGTTCAGGGAAAGCAGTAATAAAACTATCTGTAGTATTAAAGGAAAAACTTAATTTACTCTTTAATGTAATTAAAATACAATTAATAACAATCTTAAGTATACAGTTTGGATCTTAAAAAGAATAAAACTATAAAAAGAAATTTAGAAATTCTAAATTATACAGGTAATTTTAATATGATTGATTCATATTATTTACCTATATTTATAATAAAATTATTTCAAGCAATCTAATATGTGTTTTAGTTGATAAGTTTATAAGAGAGTTTTCAGAGTATTTGGAGATACTCCTACGTATAATTCGTAGCAAATGTCTGCGGACTTACAACACTAGAAACCGAGTTTCGATACCCATGGTGGGCAGAGCACAGATATCCCATTGTGTAGCTTTGTGCTTAATTTTCAAACAAACAAAATCGTAGCAAATACACTTACTTGAAACTTAAAAAACAACAACAAATAAATGTTGTTATTTTCTTCTTCATTTTTTTTATTTTGTAACCAAAGAATATAAATCGAATATCAAAACTCAAAGTGAAGGAAGTTTCCAAGAAGGTTATTAAAAACATTCAACAATTCATAAAAAAGACGACAAGTGTATATCCTAAATCTTTTGGGAAATTACAACTTGAATCTATGTTAAACTTTCTAAATTTAACAAAGTGCAACGAAAGTAGAGAAAACGCTCGAAGCAGAGACAAAACTCTAAATCCCATATAGGAAGGTAGTGGATGGGTCAAGAAATTCGAGACGACAAGTAGGAATTTGTACCAATTTAAATAGAGCCAGTCCGTACCCTTCCTCGTTCGTTCTGGTGCATGCCTGTGATAGAGCTTCTAGCTTTCACCTTCATCGCCTCCATCATACTCATCTGTTTGAATAAAGTAAGCAAGATAAGAACAACGGAAACAGTTCTGTACTTTCTTTTTTAGGTTGAATGCATAAACGGATACAAAAAATGTTACTTAAAAGTCCAATTAACGAATGACTAGTTTTGTTAACTGGCTACTCTACACAGTCCTACTATAAAATAAAATGGGATAAGATTATGTCTTTATATATTTGTGTTGTGATTTTTGTGATGTGAACTAAATATACTTAGCGTTCTTGTTCCTTTGATAAGCTTCATTGCACATCGCTCGTCAGGAAACCTATATTTATAGTGTTACAACATTTACATTTTGAATACTATAGCTCTAATGTTACACACAATAACAATTTTTTGCCACTTTATAACCAGATAAACAAAAATAAAAGTTTTCAAAAGCAAGAAAAATATTAATGAGGTCGTGCTTCGATCATTCACGTTCACGCTTGCCCACTAGCGATTAGAGACGGAGTTATGTGAAACATAGTTACATATAATTCACATAGATGGCAGCGCGTCATAACTAATGATATATAGGGGTGGCAGTTTTACCTCACATTTCCATACATAAGAAATATGGTATTTTGCCGCTAATTTCTAGTGAGGTTTTAAATTAAGTTAATTACTTAAATTAATTTGTCTAGCATCACTCTTCTGAGTTGAGCTACTTTCAGAAGTAGAGTAACAGCAATTGTTTGTTTGCTTGTTTCATAATTTCGTGTAAAACTATATAAGGTTATGTGTTCTAGTCGTTCCTAATTTGGAAGTGATGATCTAGAGGGGGAGTGAGGGTACCCAGACACTCAACAGCACCTTTCAACGAATCTTGAGCTACTCTAATTGATTACGTGGATTTGATCGTCACGCTTTATAACGTACCCATGATCCCAAAAGAATAAGAAAAGTGATTTTGCGGCAATGGGACGTGAGCCTGGACTCTCTCGTATTCACAGTCTGGCACGCTGACCATTCAACCACTAAATCTTCTTTTCACGTAATGATAACTTCATGTAAAATTCAAGATTGAGGGGCAAGAGAATGTTAATTGAAGGCATTAAAATACTTAATCTGGTCCTCGAACCTTCTGCATCTTTATGTGATTTTATTCAAATCCAACCTCTTCTGAAATTTAGTTTATTGAACTTAAAATATTTTTATTATCCCTTGGAGATATGTAAAATTTTAATTAGGTTAAGCGTAAACAACAAAGCTCTTATCGTCTTTGCTATACTTTCTTGGTATATGATTTTCTAATAACTTGTTATATCTTTTTAAAAACTTGTAATTTAAGTTTGTATGTGCTTTCCTGCAATGCTTCAATAGGTTCTTTCAGGACCAAATTTTTGTATAAATAAGAAGATTTGAACTATTTTTATTTCGCAGGGAGATGCATATAATAAACATTTAAATGTAGTTCGGACTGCTAGTCTGTTGTTTCACATCTTATATACGATGCAAAGAAGAAGAAGAACGCAGGTGGCTACACATAAGCATTAGTCGTTTCTAATTTTAAAGTGAAAGAGAAAACAACTATTCAATACCTCACATCACCAACTATTTTTCTTTTTTTTTGGGGGGGGCTGCTCTTTATCAATAGTCTCCCAGTGGCTGACCTTTAAGTCTGGGGGCTTATATCGTTAAAAATCAATTTTCAATACCTAAAGTGGATTATCAGCCTATCGTGTAGCTTTGTTCTCAATAACAAAGAAGTAAAAAAAATAAAACCAACGAATAGTGGGATTGATCGTTACGATATAACGGCCCACGGGTGAAAAGGCGAGAATTCTGTCGAAAGGTTTCTATACTGCAACTCTCAGGTTGCGATTCGAGCACCCTAACCACCAGCAAAGCAGTAGATAACATAACTTAAAAAAGTATTATAAATCAATCGAGATATATAATTGTATCGTGTTTATTGATACCAAAGCTATTGGTTCTATAGTCGCCTCAAGTAGGTTATATGGAGTTTATATGAAGAACTATAATTCATCTAAAAAGCTTTTAAAGGACTTCATTCTGTATAATAATTTTGATCGTGGCTAAATAAACAGTTATATCAATCAAGATGAATTTATATTTGGTGTTTGTCAAATACCAAATGGATATTGTTTTATACCATAAACCACAGAGAAGGTAAAACTAATATTTGTAAAATTACACTACAGTAAGTTGTTTTACTGCATTAAGTTATAATTTTATATCGTATCATAAAAATGTGAGTCTGATTAAACTATATGATTAACAACTATTTCACGAACAATTTATTAAACTTAATAGAAATCAGCAAACACAAGATATTTCGCAAACACAACCTGGTTGACGAAGAGTGCATGTCTATAGTACCTTTGCTCTTGAAGCTTCCACTCGGGCTTTATAACAAAAATCCAACAAGGCAACTACCATGGCCCATACCAGCCCACCAATAAGTATATAGAAACAGCCAGCAACATTACTTAATGTCAGTTCATTCTGGGACGAGTCCTGTAAATAATATATCAAAATTAAGAATATATATATATATATATACACATGTGATTATTTTCCATGTAAAATTGCATTATTATTTTTGCAATACAAACATAATTTATAACACAAACAATTATTGTTCATGCAGTCTATAATCTAATCTAGTCTGATTTTGTACACACAGTATTAGATACACTTGTATATTAATCCTGTTTTTTGTCTTACCTTTCCGCTATCGCTGCTACACTCACTCCGATCGTACCACCACTTATTCTTTAGTCTAGCCAGGTCTCCGTTCTCTTTTAAAGACAGCACTGCTAAATTTAATTTATCCCTGAAATAATAATAATATAAAATCTACCCCAAAACCATTTTTAAATAATTGAGTTTTAATCTAATTAAACTCTTCTATCTGTTTTACAAGTGGACTATATAATAACTAAAACGTTTGATCCAAAGATCATCTCTCTTGATTTCTTAAATAGAAAGTTTTATAAATCATCGATTAGATTGTAGGTGCGAGATAGCCCTGTTATAAACCTATGGATTTCGAAACTAATGAGCTGCGTTCGAATTCACGCGATACTACAAAATATTACCCGCGCTTTAAGCCGGAGCTACGTTATAAGAGTGACAGTCAAGTCCTTAGCGTGAATGATGAATAGGAGGGTACTATTGATTGACTGCTTTCTTACTGTTCAAAATTAGGGACGTCGGCAAATATCCTTAGAACAAGTACAATAGATATTAATTTACAACTTGAAACTGTTCATCGCGTGGTCATCGCTTTGCTTTTTTTATATAAAAATTCGTTCAAAGGTATTGTTTAAAAGTCTTTATTTATTATTCATTGACTTAACACTTAAAATTATTGAAAAGTCACCACCATTACTTTGTTTGTTAACAAAGTCGTCTTAGCCTAACTTTTACAAGTTGTATTCACTCATCATTGGTTACAATTTGAAACTGTTGGTGAAGAAAATTAATTTCTCTTACTTTCTTTGGTAAAAAAAAGAATCATCTTAGCGTAAAGTTGAAAAAATTACCATTCTCTAGACATCGAATTACTACTTGTTACTATTATTATCTTGGCTAAACGACATTATTAAGATACATTTCTACAAACAATATTATGCAAATAATATAATTTCGTTTTTTTAGAATTTGTGGGAATACGTATAGTTTTGTTGAAAATCACCTTTTGTGGTAACGAAAAGCATGCAAATTCTTTACAAGAACGAGATTATTAATGCTTTTTTCATTTATATATTCATGATGTCAGAAAAACACGTAGGTTCAATAAATCTTGATACAAAATGATAAAACCCTATAACCCGAGCGCTTTCGAAAGGTGGGCATTTCTTTTTCAGGGGCAAACTGATATTTATATATGATATCAAATAACCACAAAAAAAAGTATATTTAATTAGCTATACCCATCGCCGAATTTTTTATTATTTTTATGTTTAATGTAAGTAAGTAACTTGTTGTGATCGGAAGTTAATATTAGTAATTGAACCCAGTGTAGGATAATGCAAGAGTTAAGCTATTTTGGATTATTTCTCACAAATATTCGTCTTTTTTCTCAATACTACATTTTTTGTATCTTTCAAACACTGCAATCTAACAATGTAGGTCACGCTGTAAACCTGTATGTAGATACAAATATATATATATATCCAATAAGATTATATCATACATGTTTCAATATTCACTTGTTAATTACTATTCTATTATTTTGTTGCCTTTCCAAATCGTGGCCCTGAGTGTCACAGCGGTATGTCTGTGGACTTACAACGCTAGAAACCGGGTTTCGATACTCGTGGTGGGCAGAGGACAGGTAGCCCATTGTGTAGTTTTGTGCATAAATTCAAACAAACAAATCGTGATCAAATCTTATGACGCTTCTGTCACAACAGTAGTATTTTGGTCAAAGGCTGTTTTTTTTTATATATATATAATATATATGCATACCATATATCAACCATAAATCAGCAAATGAACATATAAAGTGATAAATGATACTAATCAAACACCAAACTTCAGCTCATAAGTAATTTATGTTGCTACAGTACAGTTAACTTTTATCCTATTATAATCAAGACAAAGGAATTCTTTTTTTTAGCCTAGGGAAATAATTCAGTCCAAAAATACAAATAATATATATATTGCAACTCTTAACTAAGAAAAGTGTTTTAGCTAAATATAATGTGACACGTTAAATGATCAGACTTAAAAAATGATCTAATCTGCTTTTGCATACCTTAAGCCGGAGCCAAGAGGCGTTGCAACTCCAAAACCTTTAGCATCAAGGTTTCTCCCTACTTTCATTGTATCACAGGGTTGGCGTTCGTTGATATAATCGTTGGTGGTGGATTCGAGAAGGAAAGCGTACTTTCCTTTGGATTCTCTAACTCTCTTAATCCCTTCGTCGTATGAAGACGTGAACACATGTTTTCTGGAGTTCATAAATTCCCACATCCGAGCATAAACTGCTATTTTTGACCTCTATAAGACAGTGTAAATAAAATTCAATTTTAAAGTACCTCTAGAAAATAAAGTAGAATAAAGAGTAAAAATATATAGACTCAGCATGCCCAGACAAAACCAGAAATAACCATATCTATTTTGTGCATGTTTTCTTTATGAGGGATGCTTTTACGTTATATGACAGCTCAAGTGACAAGGTAATATCTGTTGAAATAATGAGAAAATAACAAAAATTACTATCCATTATTTATTGTCATATAAAATATTTCCAAGTGATTTAAATGTTTGATGTCAAGTGGATTAATTTAGCTACACAACCTAAATATTCAAAATATACTTTTCTTCTACTTATGATATTATCAAATGATACTATAATATTACTCAGCAGATTGTATTATTTTCTCATAAGTTTCATATTAATATTGATAATATTACGAAGTTACAAGGAGTTCGAGGAGATTTATAACTAACTTACACCAAAGATATTTTGTCATGAACAAGGATACCTTTAAGAATAGTCAACAAAGGAAATAAAAGGTGAAATGGAAAATATTAAAAATTCCATATTTATCGAAATATTTTTTGTTTTTTAAGTTAAGTTGTTAGTTATTTATTCCAAAAAATTATGTAAATCTGTATATAAATATAAAAAAGTATGAAGCAAAATACATGAAAATATTAGAGCCGCGAGTTCATTTTCTAGCACACGAAAATATAAGTTTAGAAGTAAGTAACAAACTTATTGAGTGTTTGAGTACTTATGCTAATATAATAAAAGGTAGGCAAACAACGAGTTATAAGCATAAGGAAAATTTTTATGATGGTGGAACAATGTACATGTTTCGACAGAACAATGATCTTGTCTTGTTCATTATGTTTATAAATCGTTATTTGTCTATATGTTATTATTATTATTTTATTAAATAACGAATTGTTATTAAAACATAATAACTATTTAGTGTGTTAAGTCCCTAAAAACACTGAAAACTTTATTGAAGATTATTATACGTTTCAGAATTCGAACACTGTGTTAATAAGAACATAATGTTTTAGACTAAGGTTTGAATTTTCTATGGAATATGTAGTAAAAGTTAAATCGAATTGAACTTGATTTTGTACTTCATATTCCAAGCTGCTCTAATCTTCAGGATATAATCAAATGCTGATAAAAGACACTTTCTGAATAAGTATATTAAAAGTTTAACCCAAAACCGTATTTTTTATTTGACTTATGTAAAAAAAGCATTATTTTTCTGAACAATGAACATCACCTTTAAGTTTATTTAAACTTAAAATATTTGGTTATCATTTTTATTTTAATAACTACAAATGTTGAATATTTTTCAGAGTTATGTACGTTCAGAAACTAACTTTGAAAAATTCTTGAGTCGAAGAAAATCGGAGAGTTCCATATTCGACTTCTGTCTGTTTGGACAAATCGTCGGCTGAGTTGATAGGAGTCACCATTCTCTCTACTGTGAGGAAGGCAGCTAAATTTGCTGTGTACGAGGATATGATTATGAGAGTAAAAAACCACCAAACGCTGCCAACTATTCGGCCAGAGACAGACCTGTCATATAAAATAAACAACATTGAATCTTGTTTTATTCCACTACCATGTTACTGTGCGGAAATACGCAATAAGATAAGTTTCCTGTGCGTTTTCGTTCTAGTATTACATAACGTAAAAAAAAGTGTTGTTTTTCTAGCGTAACATAATTTTATCAACAACAGAGACGAAGCGCCTTTGTAATATTTGTTCACACACACACATAGAAAAACATTAGGTTGTACAAAATATTCAGATCTACGTAATAGATAAAACATTAAAGTTAGCTGACATTTACTTTCATTAGCTATTGCTAAAAGTACACCAAATTAAGTAAGTTCTAAATTTTGCATAATGATGGGGCTAATAAGTCCACGGTATTAAATAAACTGAAAGCCTTAAGCAGCCACACATTAAAACGGAAAATACATTATAAATTATTTAAAAAATATGTAAGTATCTCTACAAAGTAGCACGTGTTACAAATACAAGACAGGTATATTAATTGCACAATGTTCTAATGTCTCTAAATGCGGAAAAAATAAAAATTCATTTCAAAACATCCAGATTTTGTTGTACTATTTTACCAACACAGAACGTATGTTAAATATAAGAGCTAAGAGAATAATATTCTGAGTCAGACAGCAAAATCCGAGAATTGCGAACAGTAGTTTTTAATTATAAAACATTCCAAACAAACAAAAAAACAAATAAAGAAATGTATTATTCTCAGGGCCCCCAATGGCACACGATATGTCTGCGGACTTACAACGCTAGAAACTGGGTTTCGATACCCGTGGTGGGCAGAGCACAGTTAGCCCATTGTGTAGCTTTGTGTTTAACTTCAAACAGACAAAAAATTATTCTCAGGAGGTGAAAGTTTCCAAAAATAGTTTTAATCGGGCGATTTAGTTTGCTCTATATCTCAATAGATGGCGCTGTAATGTTAACATCGTCCTCAGGATACATTGAGAGTTAATAATTGATGATATTGTTTTTTAGTGCAAAGTTACACAATTGTCTACCTGAGTTATGTCGTTACGTCTCAAATTATCAAGAAATTAATAGTAATTGACAAACTAACTAAAGTGTATAAAGTTTAAATATATTATTATAACTATTTCACTAGCTTTATCCAGAAGGATCTTTCCATGTTACTTCTACATGCTATTGTATCCAGGTTTTGAGATTTACAAAAATTACAGAAAAACATTGTTATGAATATCAGTGAAATATATATATCCCCAAGATTAGAGATACCACAGTTCATTAGCTAATATCTAAGACGAAACCTATAAAATAATACATCGTATTTTTGAATTAACAGCATCGTTAAAAAGGGGAGGGGTGAGGGAGAAACAAAACTCCATCAAGACAAATCGTGAAAAAGATAACGGAAATCTTGACCATGTTAAATAAGTTTTATCAATGGTTTGGTCTAAACTATACTTAGTGTAATAACTTTACCTTGGACAGACATCGCAGCCCTGTTGCATGAAGGCTCCTAATGAAAACCATAGACTATTCATTAGAGAGAAATCATTAGAAACTGAAGGGCCAAGAAAAGCCTCCTCAAAGCGCCATTCCACTGGGGAAAAGCGACTGACCAGGAATAAGACAAATGAAACTCCCAAGTAGGCTAAGATGATGCACATCCAGATTTTCTTGGACAGAGGATTTAGAAAAGAAAAAACTCCCGGTTTCTTCTTCATTGGTTTTTTTATCATGATGCTAATTCCCAATGACATATATGGTTTCGTAAAATCAATGACCCTTTCCCTGGCCGAGGTAATCGTCAGCGGTGCAATGGACATATCCGCCTCCTGAAATAAAACAAGTGTTTAGCACATATCTTCAGCAATTGAGAGCTAATAAAACATACATTCCATTAATTACTGTTTTACTTGAATTCAAAAAATAGAAAAATATAAATATAGATTATATTCCGACATATGTTTCAAATAAATGTTTTCTGTTTTTATGCGTAAGCCGATCTATATCACTCTAGATAGTAAAACATGATAATTCAAGCTATAATATTTACATCTGTATATGAACTAAGCATTTAACTTTATTCATTGCATTTACACATGTATAGGACTAACAATATTAAATTAGCTGAAATACCCGTCCGTTGGACGGGTGAAATAAAAACTCGTTTGTAACAAAGGATAGGAAATTGTGCTTCTCTGTTTTTATTTAATATAATAAACATTAAAAGTGCAATAAAAATACATATATATAATGTTTTCAGGAATTATATCAATATGATATTAGATGGGGGGTTGCCCCCTCATAACCTTTCTCATGTCATCATGTATCATTGTGTCAAATTTGGTGCTGATTGATCAAGAAATGTAGAAACCTATAAGGAACAAATATGAAGTGATAGATGTACGATCGTGTATTTTTTTCCCGGACACACAATTTGCTTTATATATACAGTAGAGTGTATTTCAAAATTTGTCTACAAAAAAAATCTCAAATTATTTACGTCGATGACATGAAATAGAACATTAAAACTTTTCTCGTGAGTGCACTATCGTTCATATTAAAATGTATTCACAAATTCATTTCCTAAATTAAAACTTGATTAAACATAAATAGTACATATTGATGTTCACGGTTACAGCATTCTATTTTTCCTCAAACTACCATTCACACATATGTTTAGATGAACAAAATTGAAAACGGCGTCAACATCAGGGATAGAAAAATGCTACTGTATTGAGGCCTTTATACTTCAGATGGATTTCTTGTCATAACTGTTGTGTTTTTTTTTTAATATTATTTAAGTTGACATATATGCATATAAGAAGGTAAATTTCAGAAAATAATTCCAATAAGAACAAAAATTGTCTTACATAATGTTTGTTTTGGAATTTCGCGCAAAGCTATACGAGGGCTATCTGCGCTAGCCGTCCCTAATTTAGTAGTGAAAGACTAGAGGGAAGGCAGCTAGTCATCACCACCCACCGCCAACTCTTGGGCTACTCTTTTACCAACGAATAGTGGGACTGACCGTCACATTATAACGCCCCCACGGCTGAAAGGGCGAGCATGTTTGATGGTATGCGGATTCGAACCCGCGACCCTCAGATTGTGAGTCGAGCGCCTTATCCACCTGGCCATGCCGAGCCCAATAGGTCAATGATAAGTCTAAAAGTTTATAACGTTAAAAACTGGGTTTCGATACCCATGATGGTTACAGAACAGATAGCTCATTGTGTGTCTTTGTGCTTAACAACATACAAACAAACATAACGTCAAACAATGTCAAAATGTAGTTCTGATACATTTAATTCCACTGGAGTTTTATATCAGTTGTGGTTATCACATGATTTGTTGGTTTGCATATTCAAAAAATGGTTTTATTATAATATGCTCAACCTTCTGCATGCTTTGAAACTCAACAACACGAAGTGTTTGAAATAATGTTTCTTAAGTAATTATATTAATACATTTTCTTCTATTTAAAGCTACAAATTCGCGTGCCATATAATACTATTGTCACCTCAGGAAGTTGATTTCTTTCAGAAGAAAAGCAAGGGTTAACTATTTAAATTTGGATTATGTTCTGTTTTTCAGGTTCTGACGTAAATGTTCCGCTTTATTAAAACACGCAAAAAATTAAAGCAAGTCAAAGATGAACCATGAACGGTCACTGAAACTAAATTTTTATCAATCCACTTGCTTCAATTACTTCCAATGCATCATCGAAGTGAAATGTGAGCTCATTTGCTGGATAAATTGTTTTTAACATGACCAATGGAAAATTTTCTTGTGAAGGCTCAGAACGACAAAAGTATTAAGCTTTAAAGCAATTAATATAACAGTTAATGGCTTCACTTATCGGTATGTGGACTTTGTATAAAACTCATAGTCAGATATGTAAATTGAAGAGCAGATAACTGCATAGTTGGAAGACATTTTTCACTTTTTTTATAAAAGAGATTGCCTGTTTTGTTATTTCTTTAAATTGGATCTCCAGTGTAGTTAGAGATGGACTTCTCTAGCTGTTGTTCTTGGCTTAGAGGTGGACTTTTGGGCTTTATACTAAGTCCTTCCTCAGGGCTTTGGGTCACAAAGTTCCAGATTTTAGGCAAACTGGTTAGCTTTAAGATCACAGCTTAAAGAAGTTTTAACAATCCTATAGATAACATTCTCTTAAAGTAACTTAGATAAATCACCCAAGACTTATAGTGGCTCTGCGTTAGAATTCTGGTTCAATTCCTACTGTGGGAACTATACAGTAGCCCATTGTGCAGATTTGCACATAATAACAAACAAATAAAATTAAATACCCGTAGCCAATCAATGCTACGATATCTGGCATATTTCCTGAATGTAACATAACACTAGCTTTTTCTCTCTCTCTCTATTTTTGAAACCGAAATGTAGACTTTATTCAAACTATTTTTTTGCGAGATCTCTAAGATTGGCTAGTACAATCCCACGTGACCGTCGACATTAGGAAGAGATCATCAAAGACTAAATTTCCTAATCCCTCGTTCTCGCGTCTTTCAATTGAGAACTAATAAAAAGTAATGACACATATTTTATTCAATTTATTTCTATGGACAATTTTAATTGGAAAGAGTGACCATTGATTAAAGTAGAAAGGCACTGTATTTGATTGATATTCTTATAGCACTTGTATAGATGCTCAAAGTCAATTTTTTTCAAAAACAACGATTGTAATACACAATAATCATAAAAATGAGATTGTTCCAAATGATAAAAATATAATAAAATACTGAACAGCTTGCTGTACAGAATAAAAACAAACAAAACAACAAAAGCCGATGAGACTGGAAACGGTCTCATACACTCATATGTTTCCAGTCTCATCGTGTGTTTTTTTTTATTCTGTACAGTAAGTTATTCAGTATGTTATTGTATAGTTGTTTATTAAAAAGAATTTTTACTGTATTTGATTGTTTGTTTGTGGAATTTCACGTAGAACTATTTGCGCTAGCCGACCTAATTTTGAAGTGATAGATCAGACGAAAGGCAGCTAGTCAACATCATTACTGCCAACTCTTGGGCTACTGTTTAACTACGAATAGTGGGATTGATCGTCACAATATAACGTTCCCACAGATAAAAGGGCGAGCATGTTCGGCGACGGGTTTCGATCCTGCGACATGCAGATTGCAGGTCGAGAGACCTAACCCCAGGCCATTCTAGGTTCCACACTATCTGATATTTCGGATATTTGATAAATGATAGAGAACTGGCTGACACAGGTTTCTCTTCATTACACTGTATAATAATATATAGCTTTAGGAAATGCGAGTAGTATTCCCTGTTAACGAATATAGGGAAAATACGAATCACGTAACTTCATTTTATAATTAAATTTATCAAAATTTGCATAGTCGAAAAATTGATTTAGTTTTTTTTTGTCTGACGTAAAACTAAATATTTCTTTGTCATGTATTTCCAGATTTAAATTAAAAGTTGTAATGATTTTATCTCTACATTTTCTGGTATTAGAATGTAAATTCCATTATTTGTTTTAGAAATGCATATATTTTTCATATGTTGACTATTTCACGTCCAGATAATATGTTTTGTGGATCGAAATAAGGTTAAATATATGTAAAAAAAGTGCTAACCCTTTTAAGGACTATAACTTCGACTTCAGCATGAAAACATATGGTTTTCAAACTCATTAAATGTACTAAATATAATGAAATCAATTAGGTTGAATGAAGATATTTCAGATGATAACTTTTGTGACAGAAACAGGTGTCAGATTGTTTGAAAATAATTTAATGATAAGCTGTCCTATAGAACTGTTGTAGTCTGTAAAACTGGTGGTCACTAAGATATATTAGATATCATGGGGAATATTTCAAGGTTCGGGATGAACCAAGCGCATAGTTACGCGGTTCTAATATTAGGAAGGAAAGTTGTAGTGATTTGTTGTAAGTGGAATGAAAGATACTAAACAGAGTGTAAAGTCGAACGAAATAAAGACATTATTTTCAAGATGAACACAAAGAATCATTTCAGCAATTGGTGATCATGCAGTCTAGCGGAAAAGGTTGGGCAGAACTATTTTGAATTTCGCGCAAAGCATGTTTTCGTATAGTATGTTTGTTTGTAATTAAGCACAAAGCTACACAATGGGCTATCTGTGCTCTTCCACCATGGGTATCGAAACCCGGATTCTAGCGTTGTAAGTTCGCAGACATACCGCTGTGCCACAGGGAGTTTTTGTATAGTAAAGTAAATGTACACGTATATGATACCTTCCTACTACATGTTTTTGTATAATAAGGTAAAGCAAATGTACACACATATATGGTGCCTTCCTACCGCATGTTTTTGTACAGTAAAGTAAGTGTACACGTATATCATATATTCCTACCGCATATTTTTGTACAGTAAAGTGACATCTCTTACTTGGAAAACTAGCACAATAAACTTCAGTCCGAGAGTGTAGCCGATCAGAAATGTCCTGAAAGCAAGCAGTTTTTTTATAATCCGTATACTTGTTATAAAATTTCAAATTTGTGTATCATGATGTGCTCATATTTCGTAAAATATTAGAATTAGCTAGTAAACCTTTTTTACATTTCATGTCTTATTGTCCAGTTTAATAGCGATTGCTGTAATATTACGTAGAGTAACTTGGTGAACCAAAGAGGAATTTATGAGCATCTGTTTTCATTTAAAGAAACATTATACACAAGAGTACCAAAAGTTCTATGTAATTATTTGAAATGATGCTAGTTAAAAAACTTGTTTTATGTTAAAGAAGTTAAAACATAAAGAGAGACAATTTCAGGATATTTCCAAATTCTACTCTATC